AACATGTGTATTCTTCAAAATGCAAAGAAGTGAATTGCAATCAAAGAGTTTCTAATACTAATTAATATTTCAAGTAAACACCCTCACCCCTTATTTCAGTTGCTCGTTGTCTACAAAACCACCGATTGGCCATACCCCTTCGCTCAGTGAGCAGTAAATGATCTATGGATTTGAAGTGTAAATTTGTATTTGCAACACTAAAAATTAATGCATTGGAGAATGAAACAAACTTATTATTTTATTCTAGTCCCGGGGTGATAGATACAGACTGTCATAAAAAAGCAGGACTGAATGACGAAGAATATGACCGGGTACGTATACTCTCCGAGTAGTTTTCTTGTAGTTTTCTTAATTCACAGGAAAGTTGTATAACTATCGTTTCTACCATAATGATTTCCAATGACAGCATTTTCAGTGACGTCATAATCTCGCTTCCAGCGCGTCGATTTACCATGATGCTTTGCTTGTATTAAAGGGAAAGTCAGGCAATGTTGACAATTTTTATAGTTGCCTAATATTATGTGTATGTGCTGTTAATTAAAATGTATTTGTTGTTGTTGAAAATTGTGTGTGTTATCCTTCGACAATCCTTTCCGGCAAGGTATGACCACGTGGTACAACTAAACCAATAATCATCCAGGGTCGCGAGATCTGATTATAAATCATATACTCGGCTGTAGTGAACCCCTATCACCGCCCATGATCCTCTACGTCAAATCAGAAAGAATGTTTACTTTACTGCATACTTTATGCATTTTATTTGTAGTTGATGGAAGCAGCCAAGGATGAACACGTGTTTCGGCGGTGTGGTACAGCAGGAGAATGTGCTAAGCTGACAGCTTTCCTGGCATCCGATGACGCGGCCTTCATCACTGGGGCCATTGTACCGATAGATGGCGGTTTACACGCTGCAGGATCATACACATTTAAGAGCTGAGCAACCATGGGAAAAACGCGAAGTCACGGTGTGACCTCAGTTCAATTATACAACAGTACAGTGTCGTGTGTGCTTCACTGTAACTAAAATCTTTCCCGCTCGCCAAATATAACGCAAGGTACTTCAGGCAATAAAACAGTTTCTACAACAAAAGTCATACGTTTTCTTTATTATTTGTCCCTGGTACTCATAAAGCTATTTCATTAGCAATCAATATCACATGTTTAGAACCAGTTGTCCGGGTTAGTAATACGATAGAAAAAAAAAAATGTTCTATTATAACATTATTTCTTGGAATCATGGGGGATATTTTTTTGCTAGATTAAACATAACAATTTAAATATTATTTGATGTTTTATAAGTTAGAATAATCCTTATTCCAATTCTTATTCAGAAAAAATAATCAGCCCCAGAACGGTGTATACCTGATATATTGACCAGTTTAATGTGCGATGAAACTGTGATAAAATAACTTTGGCCATGTGAACTACGATTCGCAACGCGGAAGGGACGTGCCTGTCGTACATCGCATTTAGGTGCGGCTCAGAGTTGAAAGCTCTCAGTCTGTCATACACTTTATGAAACATGTTGCCAGTTTGATCTTCGCTAAATAAGAAATACTTAAATAGTCAGTATGAAACTTGTATGCTATGACTTTGCTGAAAACTTCAAGCTGGACGTCCGAAACCGTTAATGAAAAGTCAATGCGCCGTGGCGTATCGTTGTCGCTGCCCGGTCGCCGCGAGATTGTGGAGATCAGTGCTCTCTGCGTTGCATACTATCGTTAAAACCATGATACATAATACATGATACACAAACACCCTTCATCTTCTCATCACAATCGTGCATTTACTGGCGTGATACACTGGCATAATATAGTATATGTTTTTAAAGAAGTTAAACAATATTTTCTACTCTGAATTGGAAATATGTTCTATAAAACGTTCATATCAGATACAGATACTTACATTGTTAGAATTACGTTTATTTAATACATAACACTGCATCGTTGTTCGTAATTTTCAACGAAATCACAAACTAAAATGACCAAATGAAACCACAAGTTTTAGTCACGTGCTCATAATTTCAGTCGATGTTTGTCAAAGTTCAACGATGTTCGCTGAAGGTGTGAAATGTTCGAAATCTGGACCAATACGAGAAAAATTGGCTGACAAACTGTCCGACATATATGTTTGGTATTTGAATATTAAAAACACTATATACATTAACAGCACATAACTTGACTTAAAGTTTGCAACCTCAGATTCTCTCGTCTATGTTAACCTGTGACGCTGTATCTACCAACGCTACGGGATTGTCAATGCCTGGTGTATTATGAGACGTATCCGACTGATTTACCGCTACAATGTCAACTGTTGATGGTGAATTCGTACCACTCAGTCTCAGCTTAAGTCGACAAACAGCCCAGAGCAACAGCTGTAAAATGAAAACCATGGCGAGGCAGGCAAAGACAGTAGCAGTCGCCATCCCTGGCTTGGCGGAGTAATCCAATATAGGATAGACGGCTTCACCGGTAACTCCCCAGTAAATTAGCGTATTGGTGATGTAACAAACTCCAAATATGAACGGATACAATGCGTGTATATAGCGCACAGGCATTGCTGCGATGGTCGTTTCTAATATCATGGCAATCACGTTCATGGCGTGGTCATGGAAATCAATCACTTGCAAACCCATCTCGGCGTTATACAGAGCAGCCCAGTATACTATGCTAAGTAAAGGCGCGTATATAGCTGCTATATAATACAGTAACCATGACAACTGGAAATACCATTGTGTTTTCTGGCTCGGTCGACCTGCAAAACAAACATCAGGGAAAACAATTGAAAATCATTGGCCATAACTTTGAGGTTTACTTGTAACATGACTGTGTCTCATTACTTGTGGTAGAACCACGAGAAGATAGTCCAGTGAATATCCTAAAACGCGAGCGATGACATCCAACGTGAGGTATTCTTTTTACGCGTACATCTGATTTCCGATCATGTCTCTTTTTTTAATCATCTGTTTTTCTTCTGTTCTTTTGGGTTCACATAAGATTATTCACCAGTAAAAGGACAGAGTATTTTGCGACTAATCATATTATTTTATTTGTTGTGCCTTGTGACAGTTTCCTGACTTTTCATGTGAAAATTCCAAGTGCGAGTGCGAGTACTGATAAATAAAGAATGTCACCATAAAAACTTATACTAGTATTCAATATTTGAGACTACCCGACAGCGCTGATTAATGCCCTATGTTGGTACTAATGTATATCGGTTGGTTAATTTCACTAGTACACAGCCATTTGTCGATATGCTTCGTGCATTCTGAAAAAGTATATTTTTTTTCAAATTCTATTCCTTTTTATCCAAATTAAAGCGTTTTTTGTCAACTGCAAACCAAACTTAGTTTAAATCTTACTATTTAATTGTTAACTAAGAAAATCCCCAGCATCTTGTTGTATGTGTCTTTGCATGAATTAAACAAAATAATATGCGTATTCCAGTAGGTTAGCTGGCAGACGATAATGGAGACTTCTTTTTTTTGCTGATTATATTCCCCAAAGAGTGACATCATTTTTTGAACCTCTATAAATTTTGCCAGACTTTGAGGTAAATTTGACATTCTGATCACACATTGCAAGTAACAAATACAACAGACTTCTTGGGAAGTTATTAGGGTTTAAATCGTTAAGCCAGTAAAAGCAGTATAAAGTTTTAGAGAAATCAATGTCCCGCAATGGTACAAATTATAGGAATTCTGGGTAATTTATGGTGACGTGCGACGCTCGTTCCAATTTTAGATACCGTCACCGTGCCGTGTGTGACCTTTACACATTTATAGAAAAAAATTCAAATGTTAAACGACGTCCACCTACGACTGCATAGCGCCTCGTCACTGCAGTCGGACGCGCCAACTGGCACTCGATCCTTCTAACTGGTATGCGAACAATGTAAATAAGGCCCGAAACATGTGTTGATTCAGTTGAACGTGAATGGTCAATCCAATCTCCTGATGTGGATGACGTATTATTAGGTGGATAAATCATACGTGTCGTACATCATTCAGATATTGAAATTCACTTGTGTCGTTCAATATTTGAAACAATTATTGTACATTCCACCTGTACATTATTTGGTCTAGTGGCGGTGATTATCGGCACTCTGAGTAACCTGCTTTATTGCAGGACTTACTACATACTAAATATCCTGTTTCCGAGTCAAATATTATTGTTATCCCAATTGTGCCAGGGCTGTAATACAGATCACGGGACATCAAAGATGAAACAAAGTTCAAGTGTTAATGTGTCTCGAAAAATAGAATACAATACTTGTACGAACCCGAATCCGAATCCGTTCTCGTCCGAATGTAGGTGTAAACAGTGGTGGAGGCGGCTGTGATAAGATATATAGTAACTGCCATAAAACCCCAATTGGTGAGATAAATGAAGTACTTAGCACCATCCCAGCTGAATGTAGATATCATGATGTATAGCATCCATGTGGTATAGTATAATGCCAATACAACCCGGTATATAACAAACAGTATTTGTGGAATAAACTGCCACTGTAAATGTAATCGAAATGTTAGATGTTAATGAGACAAGACGCTTGTTTCAACCTCGAGTTTGGTTAACAGAGGCATTTGACTGGAAATTCAGTGCACCCTAAACACAACGTTGAATGCACATGACCCAAAGCTGAAAATCCAAATAAATTGATCAGTACTATTGTTTGTAAAGTTGTCATCGTTAAGGTTGTGAAATTTGGCATCGCACCGTACATTTCAACCATCATTTGTTTTTAGCTTAAATTGTTAAAATAAAAATTCCTATGGCGCCTGGGATGCATTAATAACCATTCTTTTCAATCGATATCGATGGTTCAAAATTCAGCTTCAAAGTTGCGTAAAAGTAATATCAGGAATCTTTTTGGCGCGAAGATTGTTGGGTAATAAGGCAATGAGGTGGAACGACTGGACGACCTTGGCCATTGTCAGCATCCTTTATTTCATGTTTTGTCATATTACCCCAAACCCTGCAAATGGAAGTGTGCATGAAATCACGGGAAGAAACGGTGTGTATTGTCATAACTGTCATAATGGTGATTGACAGGTCACACTTGTTTTCAACTCTGAAAGGACAGTGGGTTCTACCAGGTGTGCTTGTAATTTACATACCAGGTGTGCTGTTATTTGAATAACAAAGGATGTTTATGATCTACTGAGTTGCCAACGTGACACAGCTGCTAGCAAGATTACATTCAGATTGGCTCATGTGGAAACCCAGGTGGTGTCACTGCATATAATTTAGACAGACCAAAGACAGTTTGGGTCGATCATTTCAACTTGGTGTCCGTCACTTCAACTTGCTTTCCTGTGTGTTCTGCTGCGATACGATATTACAGGCTACAACCACCATTCAGTGAGACTGCTCTGCGATCTCCTGCTTTCAGCGGTGCCCAAAATACCAGCGTTCCTCTGCAAGCAAGACTCCTGTATTTCTTCGTTGTTGTGTCGCAGAAGTCATTGACTGTCGTCCATTAATACATCCTGGAACTGTGAGTTATCACCAATGCACACTTCTCTAAGCAATCCCCTATTTTAGTGACTTTATTCATTGTATTTTGTTGTGCTTTATTTCTTGTAAATATTTTGAGAGGTATTAAAGCCAGGAGCTTTAAGTCGATATTTTTGTGTATGTGTATTTCATTTCCAGTACTATTGTCTTGTCTACCTCATACTAGCAGTGAAAGAACCCCCTGTCCAGTGTGAGTTCTGTGGGTGGCCCTCTCAATTGCGATAAGCAGGCCTTACACTGTGACAGCCATGTTGAGGTAATCATTTGCTAAAACAATCGTAATTTTATCTTTCATGTTGCTTGTTTTGTGGTGAGAGTATTTAATATTGCTCTGTAATATGGGTTGAAAAGAGTCATTGATAAAAATCCTAATAATTTAATTCGTTCCGTTGCTATTGTAACTTAATGCATGAGTTTTCTCCCATTGGGTATTTCACATACATACGTTCAGTGCACTCCATCAGTGAGTGCTGTATGTTACTAACAATTTCAGTGGCATGGTACATTACATTATATATTATCATGGATTCATAAGATAGGCTGGCGAGGCGATTTTCAGTCTTTGCCATGCGTATATAGTTGCCGTATAGATCTTCGGAGAGGGCCGTGGGAAGAATGATTCAGGTAAGTCTATTCAAATTATAAGTTCCAACTCAGTGGCTGTCTCATTTAAGGCAGTGTATAAGTAACTACTGTATTGACGGCCTATTTATAGGCAGATAACAAAGGGTAGTATTTATCATTATACACTGGGACTCGATTGCGCCTAGGGCAGATTCACATAGAGCAGCGGCAAGAGATCGGAACCGAGATAAGCCGCAGACCAAGAAGTGGTTTATATCAGCATTTGAAAGTTGCACATGATTTGAAATAGAATAGTGTTAGGCTTCACTGTACCAATTGTAACAATAAACTTGAAAGGCATAAAGGGGGGTCACGGTTAATAAACAGGACAATAGAGAAAATCGTTAGTGAGTGTGATTCGCGCCTGATTCAATGGAAAATTTCTAACCATCTTAAACCATAGAATGTGTGTAGTAGATGTGACCATAATAAGCGCCATTTTCTTACATGACTACTGTATGTAAACAGTAACAAAATGGACGGACGATTATTAATCACCCCACTGGGCGACTGTGGTCACACATTCTCTATATTTGCATTCGGCGCCAACAGTGAAATTAAAAAAAAATGAAATCTGATTTAGTAAATGGTTCTGCAAATTTGGGTGATATGTGTGTTATGATATGCAGCAACCTATTTTGCGTGGAAAAAAAAAAACAAACATTTGAGGTCACCAAACTTTTTTTCCGGAACATATTCACCGCTGTTATTATTTAGTTTGGCAAAAAAATGGTTTATATGGTAATATCCAAAATGTTTTAATATTGTAATCTTTGGAAACTGGTAATGTTTACATAATATTTGGCCGACTTGTTCGAAACTTCGCGACAGAATGTTTTTGATTAGTATGCCAGTGCTAGTGATATACAATGTAAACGTGTTAAATGTTTCCTAGCGATATGTGCTTTACTAGTACCACATGTACAATGGATGTTATGTCATTCATGATGACAAAGAAAATAATATTAATACTGTACCTGTGAATTTACAAAAACAGAGTTGTTCTCAAATCGCAGTCCTAAATCAGACTTCTTTACCGCACAGCACCCCATGATGTGATCAGCTGTAATGGCGGTTACGGCAACCGCCCTCTGGTGAGGTTAATCTTGTATCCATAACAACCGAGACGTTCTTTCTTCCCGATCGCATAGACTCCACGTGAATTGACCACGATGCTATGTGTTTGTGATTTTTGTTACTAGGTACTTGAATATATTCCATTAGGATCTATTCAACAACACGTGCTTTGTGCTAAATCATATTCTTTCATTCTACTGGATTATAGTTCAACATCATAACAAGACAGTATTTAAAGCGGGAGGGTCGTCACCTGCGCACGCGCGGGAATTGAGTCCCAAGCGACGATGACAGCACTTGAGCATACTGAAATGGTTCGATCAATTTCAAGTGTAGGACAAAGCTAGTTGTCATGAATGTACTACACAAACTTCACTCTGCTTTCGTACATGAAGTTATGCAGTGTTTTATTTTTTCGAAAATCACAATGTTTAAGGTTTACCATTTGTTGGGTACATTAGCCACGATGAATTCTGGTTTGAAAAACGTATTTTAGTACGTCAGTTCTCCAAGTGAAGTGCTAAATTTAAATATGCAATGTGGACGAAAACACACATTTTTTAAAATTGTTATTCGACACTCCATACTGTAGACCAAAACGAGCTACGACTTGTAATAAGTTACAACTGATGTAGCGTTTGTATAAACAACTAATACGCATGCGTAGTGATTTTTATTGTACGTTCTAAAATATAGTGCATAATCCTCAGATGAATGTACAAAACTGCGTTTTTGCTATCTTTCATGAACTCCTATTTCGATTTTAATGATTTCCTGACTGATGAGATTTGAAAATTGTTTGAATGACAATCCAAAATCGTGTGTCCATCATTGAATATACGCAGTGAACTAACGTGTTATCAAACTAAATGTACAGATAAGAAACCGAACTTGACTAGTAACTTTAAACTCTGTCTCAGCCAAGAACAACAGCTGTAAAATGAAAAAAATGGCAAGGCAGCTAACGACAGTAGCGGACGCCATCCCTGGCTTGACGGAGTAATTCAATATAGGGTAGACGGCTTCACCGGTAACTCTCCAATAAATGAGCGTATTGATGATGTAAAAAACTCCAAATATGGCAGAATATCGAATACAATACGTGTATATAGCGCACATGCATTGGCAGAACGCGAAGGCAAGTAAAAGCTGGGGCGTATCGCTGCTGCATTTTCATTCGTGAAGATACGGTCGCCAGATACATTATACCACACGCCAGCACCATCTCGGATTACACAGTACTTTGTCGCATGACTACGTTAAATAAATACGTACTTTCTACAATAATATAGTTAGTCATGTTGTTGATTACACATTGGATGCTCGAGTATTAGTCACACTATCCCACTTTTTCAGATAGCATACATATATACTCTTTTCCGTTAAATACGTAGTGATGCAAAGTGTGAATATAGAGTAAAACGTGGAATTGAAGTGAAAAGTGCAAAATTATAGTGGAAGGTGGTGGACTAGTGGATTAGTAGTGCAAAGTACGAAAACAATGGAATTGATGTGCAAAGTGTTCAACTAGAATGGAAAGTTGTGAAACAGTGGTGCAAATTGCTAGTGAATTGTTTTGCTTGCTAATGAGGATTCCGAATATGCAGGTACTGACCATCCTCGTGGAAACTAGTTATTTTACCGCTCAAAAATAAAGGAACGTTGTCACACGCAACGTAATATTACCGTAATTGGTATAGTACAAGTGTGATGGTTCGAATACCAAAATGGCAACAGTAACATAAAGACTTTCCTGGCGGCGATGATAAAACACGAACACGGTGCCAACAGATGAGGTTTCAACTGGTACTGATATTATTATACTCTGCAAACATCAAGTACAATAACGCGGTAAAACTCCACTACTCCAATAACTAGATACTTAAACTCCAATACAATTCAACGAGATCTCCGATCTGATCTCAGTGCTGAACAACTCCCCTATATATACCCCCACTGTCTATAAATAGACCATTACATCAACATACATAATGAGTCTGGAACTTACTACCAATTTCTAGAATGTTCCATTACCTTCTATTGCATCCTACAGTGTTCTATTACATATTCAACCATTTTCTAAAAAAAATCTAGAATATTCCACCCAGACACAGTACGGTTCTAAAACATTCTCAGTGACACGGAAGTGGTAAATAAGTCGTATGCGACATGCCTCCCCTTTCAAGAATATTATAACATATAATATTACATGACTAGCAACGACGTCAATAATACGAATATGATAACAATAAAACAACAATACAATATATCAAATCGAACTGAATAAAGCTCTGAGTACATAAATTCGAAAATCACATACAGTAGAATATAATAAAATATGAAATATAGTCATAAACGAATAACATTCTACTATACTGTTCAAAAGTTCAGGTAGTCAGGTAGGTGACGTCTCCCGCTCAACATACAACTTTAACATATTTACATGATACGTCTTCACTTTGTCACCTACCCTCACTCGATAATCGTTTTCGCCTATTACCTGCTCCACCACATAAGGACCCTTCCACTGCATCAATAGCTTGTTGGTGTCAGTTGGCAGCAAAATTAACACCTTATCTCCTTCCTTAAGCACTCGCTTCTTTGTTATACGATCATAGTAACACTTGTATCGGTTCTGTGCCTTTTGTAATTCGTCTCGAGCAATCTCTAAAGTCTGTTCTAACCGATCTCTCAACTCAAACACATACTGGTAACTATTAACTATCT